TTTTTTATCACCTTATCTAGCTTAATATGATCCCACAGTCCGTGTCCGCGAATTTCGTAACACCCCGTATATTTAGAATAATTTTCATAATTTTGAATGTAAACAAACTGTAAGTTGCGCAAAGATTTTCTGAATGAAGCTTTCATTTAAAAATTTCAAGTTAAAAGTAGTACCGAATTTTAAAAATTACCTTCGTCTTTCCATGTATTGTCGAAACATATCTGCTTCCATTCCAAGAGGAAAATCGTCACTTTCATCAGAATAATACTCATAACCGCACATATGAACTTCATTTATTATCTGGCTAGCAAAGGCGAAAGTATTTTTGAAAATCACATTAATCACGTTACTATTTTCAACCGAATGAAAACTCATTTGTTCGTCGATTTGTTCACTAATTTCGATAGTCGTATTTTCACCGGCATTTTCTTTACCATCGTCATTAACGTATATAACTGATTTGTGTCGGTTATCAGTGGAATTTTCGCCCTCGGGCAAAATATTTTCAGTTCTTCCCAACGTTGAAAATTTCTCGAAATCCACATCCATTCCGAAAAACGTAAACTTCTTCGGTTCATCTTCATCCAAAATCTTCTCATTTAGTTTTGGAAATTTCTCGATCGGTTTCGATAGAATAAAATTATCACTACTGTTACTGAACTTCCTCAGCTTCTTTTCAGAACCCTTCAACTGCAAACACAATATACACGTGCAGTTTTCCTCACAAGTCATTTTCAACTGTGCTATGCCGACTGTAATGTGAAGCAACTTTCTGTAACGAATGGCATTAGAATGCATCTGGCTGGAGTTAAAAAACATAATAGAGATATGGACCACTTCCCACAATTGTTGCGATTTCCTTTTCTACGCTGCTCGAACGTCAAAATGTTTACTGTGCCACCATGGTCAAGTAGAAATGAAGATTGTCGGTAGGATTTCGCTTTCGTCAGGCTTCTTCTTACACTTTAATTGGTAGATATTTCTCAAACGGTAAGCAATACAGAAGAATAATAAAAAAACTGTTAGCTAAAGAGTAACCGTAGTTCATTTGTTGTATACAGCGTGTTTCATGAAGAACAGAAATCTTACACAAATTATACAAACTTATATTTCATTAGAAATAAAAGGTTTTGTTCAGTCAGTAACTATGTTATTATTTTAGACAGGTACCTACGTAATTATTTAACTGTAATATATTCGCTATACAGGATGTTTCATAATAGTATGTCTTTATTTAGGGGGTGAATCTCCGCCTGATTTGAAGTAAAAAAGTTACATGGTACAGGGTGTTAAAGTATCAATAAGTTTTCTTTGTATCTCTCATAATTTTTGAGATATGTAGCTCAAATTTGGAACGTAGGCAGACTTAGATTACCTACATCATTATCTCTGCCTAATAGTCGTCACGATCTACAGGGTGAAACTTTTTCTGGTGTCGGACCTCCATTCAGCCCCGCAAGCTTCCTTCCGGTACGCCACTGCTCCTTTCTAGGTTAAGGGTTTAATTCCCTATTTAATTTAGAAACTTTTTTATCTCTTGCAATGTTTTGTCTTTATCTCTTTATCTATTGTTGAAAAACCTTGTCCTTTGAGTATCCTTTTCAGTTTTGGAAATGAGAAAAGGTCACAGGGGTCATGTCCGGAGAATAGGGTGGTTGCGGCATCACAACGGTATTATGTTTGGTCAACAACTGTTGAATAAGCAAAGCCGTATGTGCCGGTTCGTTCTCGTGGAGCAAAATCCACGAGTTGCCTTTCATCTTCTTGTCGTTTTCTTCTGATTGCCTCACGCAAATTGCACAAAACTTGTAGGTATTACTCCTTGTTAACTGTACGACCGGGCAGTAAAAATTCGTGAACTATTTCATTGTAGTCGAAGACAACGGTTAGAATGACCTTCACATTTGACCAGATCACGCCTCATATTCGATGTGTTCTTGGCCTTCCTGAAAACATTTGTACCAGTGATAAGCTCGTGGTTGTGACATAGTATCGTCGTCAAAGGTCTTCTTTAAAATGTTGAACGCTTCACTACACTTAATTCCGTTTTTAACACAAAATATCGGACAACTCTCTGATCCGATATTTCGCCACACAAAAAATTACCAAAAACACTGAGGTAAGTCTGACACACAAACTAGGTATGGCAGGTGCCTAAAAATTGACAAGTACGTCACTGACAGTGCTATCAATAAACAAAAAAAGAATCAACTCGATAAACAAGATACAACATGCGTAATTTGAAAATTTCCGTTAATTTTTTATCAAACCTCGTAATACTATATGTTTGTACATATTAGGGTACTTCGCTTGAAACGTACATTTTTTTTCGCTCCATTGTTCTAATCATTGGAAAAACATTCTCAACAAATTTTAGCTCTTAATTTTAATTTTAAGTTTTCGCTATCTGATTTTAAAATATTCCTATTCAATTAACACGTAAACCTACGTTTTTTTAATTCTTATCTATATCTCAGCTGCATTTCACGTTATTTAATTGTCCATAGGCGATTTGAAAGAGCCCTTAGCAGGATCTATGTGACGACTTGAAGTTAATTTTTATTGATATTTCTATTTTTCTCATAAATGACTAGGCAACAAAAACGTAACATTTTTATAGGAAACTCAGTTTCTTACAAAAGATGTTCTCAGCATGTATACTGTATAGTTTTTAGTTCACGAGATAAATAAAATCAAATGTGCGAAAACTCCAGATATCCTTGTTAAACTATTAAATTTATTCAAATTAACAGAATCGTCCTCCGAATTTTTTGTTGATTTTTTGTACATTATAAGAAGAAATAGTATTAAATAATTATTCGACTACCTAATTACTTTATACAGGGTGACCCAGAACTTATCAAAAAAAAATTCTGGATGTACAGGGGACCCTTACAAATACAATTTTGTAAAGAAAAAATCAAAAAGGGCAGTTCGAAAATTATTTAAAAATACACTTCTGCACGGCACTGGAAACTGGTCCACTGTAAAACCTGACCTGGCACAATGCGACCGGCATGGTGGTGTGATAAAAACGGACAAAAACTTTCGCAAGGAAAGAAATATGTAAATAGAATTTGATCGCACCTATTTTATATCGGCAAATTAAACTGCTTTTGCCTTTATTAATTAATAAAATTAATTTGTGTTTTTAAATAATAAAATCATTTGACATACCCGATGTTACAACAATTGTTGAAAATTTTATCCACCAATGTGTAAACACATTTGGGTCCGTTGTAGTCAGTTTCTACGAAATGTCACAAATGTTGTCTTGCTTCACCATAACACAAATGCTTCACCATAAATTAAAACGATATCCATCAACTCCGAGTACACGCAAACCATTTTTGACACTAACTACCCATTTTTGACACTAACTACTAAAAACATATTGTAAACACGACAGATAACAGGTAAATATCCCAACGACGATTGCAAAATCAGAATTCAGTATTCGGAGTCGCTGAGACCACGTGGCGAATGACGCTAAAGACTGCAGTTGTCCAGCTATGTAGTGGTTGAATGTACTATAACTTCAATATTTTTTCTCGGAAACTATAAGGATTTTACAAAAAAATTTTTTACGATATTGATTCCATTTCTTATGCTGCATCTATTCCCAAATTTTTTTGGATAAGTTGTGAATCACCCTGTATATGTAATTATATTACCAAAATGATAATTGGTATTTTGTTAAGAACGATTCATGTATATACTTTCAATTATCTTATTGTTTTTAGATAAATTATCTCTAAATGAAATTCTACCCAAAAAGTTGCCAAAGTAATGTTTTTACAAATTTAGAAATAGTTACAATAGATTTTTCATATCAATATTTGCTTTCTTTAAAATAACTCAAAAACCCAGAGCTTGAGCTGGTTTGAAACCACAACTAACTTACAATTAATAACATAATGATCTGAAACTATTAGCATGTTTCCATCTCTTATAGTTTCTGATACGTATATACCATCAAAATTATTCACACAGTAGCTATAAACAATTTAGATAAAGTACTAACAATCTTTAGCAAAAAAAATACGTTGAAAGATAATCGTTTTTCAAATAGAAATCTTTTTTATAACTAACAAAGATCAGATAATTTAATATTATTTTTGCTGTATCAAATAAAAGAGACTGAACTTTACAATTTGTTTCTAATTTAGTATCATTTTATTAGATAACTGTACCAGGTTTTAAAAAAGTGTAACTGTTAAGAATGAAACAAATTTTAAATGGATTAAGCTGTAGTAATTTGTCAATGTTCTTTACTCTACAGCAATTTCAATACAATAGATGCAATGATTGGATTCATACGGATCTACGATGATTTATTTTGTTACCCAAGTTTTTTGCTTAGATACATTGACACCTTCTTATACAAAATTAACTATTTAATTAAGTGTGCCCTAGAATAAATTAAACAACAAGGCTTGTTCAGAACAGGTGCGTTCAGCGTCGCCTAAAAATAAAGCGCCGCATTATTTTCTTTCAAGAATTCAGAGAAATAGGCCGGTCAAAATCGACACATAAAATCGCTAAATTCGCAAAACATGATGTATCTCTGATTTTTTAGTATGTTGTTTGGACCCATTAGGACTATGTATACCCAAGTTTGCAACTCTCAAAAAGTTTTCAAAACATTTTTACACACCAAAAACCGCGAAATTTTTGGACTTGTTTCAGATCCTGCTCTATATCTCCTAATTCATGCATTTTTCGTCGATAGCTATTCTATACGTTTTTTAAGAGCATCAAATTTATGACAAATTAAAACCAACCGGATCTCTGTAGGTCAATTGGTTACCGAATTATGGCACTTTGAAAATAGGCCAGTTTTTCCAAAAATTTAAAATTTTATTTTTAGACCTTCTTTGGACCGAAATTGCATCGAAACCATTGATCATACGAGTAGAACTTGTAGAATATAATTTGTAGGCAATTTCATTACCTTTAAATTAAGTGCAGGGCGGGGTCTGTAAGCCCCGTAGTTCTCTCAAAATCGCAAAAAAAAACATATAAGGTAAAATCACATTTTTCCAGAAATGTTCCATAACCTTTCCTATCCTTTGTTTTTTGGTACATGTTCATTGTCTTCTGCAAGCAGTATGAGTAACCTTTCAGTGCCAAGCAAGAGCCTCTCTGTCTCAGCCTTTTCGTCTATCTATCTCGTTGAAAATCAGATGAGCCAGTGCACGGTTTGTGAGGGTATGGGCTCTCACTGCACGAGAATATGCATGCCCATTCATCACTTTTTCGACACTGTTTTGAGCATATATCGTGGCAAAGAGCTGTTTGTCGAATTTGACTATGTATCTAATTTGATCGACTGATTGATTAAGTTACTATACTTTTGATTATTTATGTTTATATTAAAATACATT